CGTACCCACAGCAAAAAGCACGGGGCCGGCGCCCTCGCAGCGCCGGGGCCGGGTGCGGCTGGTGCCCAGGACGCCCCTCTGCTCGGGCAGCAGGTGGAACTTGAGGGCCTCGATGAGCAGGTCCTTGCAGTCGGGGTGGTGCCGCACCAAGCCCTCCGCGTCCACGTGGCCCAGCAGGAAGTCCCGGCTCAGCAGGGGCAGCCGCACACACTTCATCAGCTGGGGGGGGGGGCCGCCGTCAGGGCTGCCGGCCCCGCGCAGCCTCGGCCCGGGCAGCACCCCAGGCCGGACACCTGTGCACTGAGCCCTAGTGAGGGCACCGGCCCTCCACCTGGCGGGACGCTGCCCCGGGCCGGCCGGTGCGCCCAGGCCCCCCTTGCCCGCTGGCCTGCCCGCGGCCAGCCTGGCCTCACCCGCGGGACGTGCTGCCTCCGGGCGTCCACGTCATGCTTGACCCAGCTCAGAACGGCCCGGTAGACGTCCTCTTCCGACGGCACGTTCAGGCTGTCACTAGAGACCAGTTCCAGCACCTGGGGGGGGGCCCTCAGGTCTGAGTTCTGGGAGGGCCTTGGGGCCCCGGAGCCCTGAAGGGACCTGGGAGGGAGAGTCCGGTGGGGCCAGCGCTCCCAGGACGAGGCAGAGCAGGGGCTCGCAGCTCTGGCTCCCGGGGCCGGCGCAGCGCAGCCGCGGGCATGAGCGCCAGGTCCGGCCGGGCAGGGCGGGGCGGGGGCCGGTGCTGTCCGACCCGTGGCCGCACGCCCCTTACCTGCTTCAGCGGCAGCAGCATGAACTCCTCGGTCTTGGCCACGTCCACGAAGTGCTGCAGCACGTACCTGTGTGCCGCCTTGAGCAGGTCGCCGCAGGAGTGCGTGTCGGCGAAGCCCCGGATGCCCAGGCAGTTGGAGGGGTCCAGCTGGCTCAGCAGGAACTTGCAGCAGGCGTCCCGGACGCCATTCAGCTGCAGCAGGCTGGCGGCCGGGAGCAGCGTCTGCGGCGGCCGGGCAGGGCCGGAGGGCGGGTGAGGCGCTGCGGG